GGATTCCCATTACTTTGACAGCACGTTTTCATTTCTACCCCTCGTCGTCTTCTCCCAAAATTCATTCCATTTAGTTTTCTCTCATCTTCCTATTCTGATTAAGTAGTTCGTTGGTGCAGGACATTAACCTTCTCAATTCACCTGCTAAAGATGAAATCCTTGTGAGGAATTGAAAAACAAGTGCAAAAAGATAGTTGAACTCCATCTGGGTTTTGTGGTTAGCATCAGAGAGTTGCTACAAACACAGAACTAAGATGAGATTCCATCGGAGAAAAAAAGAACTTCATTGATTGGTTACCATTGATGTAGGAAAATCATTTGAAATTTTCACAAATGATCATTTTTTAAATGCCAACATCTTCGTCGATGTGGTGGGCGTGCATAGTTCTTGATGAATTTAGATAGTTCATTTTGAAATTTCTTTTTCTCCCATTAATTTTAAGGAAACTCACTTTTTTTCTTTTGTTAATTTTCTTGGAATTTCTAGGGAACCAATCGACTAGTTTCCTCTCTAGAATTTAGAGGTGTTTTTAATCTAAATTTTGACTTGATTGAAAATAAAAATGAAAAAGCAACTTTTGGTTGTTTCGTTACAAAGAAAACAAAGAGAAAGCGATGGTTTGCTATAATTCTTTTCTTGAAGAAGATGAACGCTATCAAGTTGACTCAAAATTTTTTATTTTTTTTTCTTGTCATTTTTGGGTTTCTATTGGGTTAAAAAAAAATAGTTTCATTATTGATAAATCAAATGTGAGAGGGTAAAAAAATGATTTTTTTTGTCAATTAATGAAAATTAATTTGATTGATAAATTAAATTATTATTTGAATTATTTTAAATTAATTTGATTAACTTTTACTATTTATAAAAAATATATAAAATTTTAAAAATTTTAAAAAATATATTATTAAATTACATTATAAAACATTTTTGTCCACACAAATATCTATTTATATTCAATTATACACACGCCAAACATAATATTAAATATAGTATAATTTAATATTATTTAATCTAATTCAATTTTATCATCCCTTTTTAGGCTATCTTATCTTATCTTGCATTTCAAACACTTACGTATCATAAAGTAATAAACAAAATTTTACAACCAAGACCCAACCCGACGGATGGGGTTATTGCCCGCACCTTCTTATAATGTTAATACCACACCATCTCCTTAGAACTGGGTCTGGAAAACCCAAACCCGGAAAGCCGAAATGATTGTTTTGAGTATTGATCCACGGGTTCAAAACACATGAGGTAAAGCTGAGCTGGTTGTGATAGTCTCGTTGTTGCTCCCATAGTTTTGGCTTCATAACTTTGTTGAGTGATTGTTATAAGGTTTCCATATGCTGCTTGCATATATACAATTCTCCGGCCAAGCTCTTAGAAACAGGGAATCGCTCCCACATTACCCAGAAAACTTCAACAATCATCTAATCTAGTTATTTAGCCCATAATTTTTTTTTTGCATAAGCAAATCCACAAATCAAATCCAATAATGTGTGAATTTATAAGTTGCAGGAATTTATATTAAAGGGTTTGGGTCTGTAAGAATTATCAAGGGATTGAAGTGTTGATTAGATGAGGGTTTTAACCGTGTCTTTGGAATTCAGGAGAAGACTTTTTAAAATTGTAAAAAGAAAACGGAGACAATAGTTAGTGGAGGGTATAGTGGTCAACTAGGTAAAAATAATGTGGCAATAACATTTTAAGGGTGGCAATAACTGAAGTGTTGATCGGACGAGGGTTATAATTGTCATTTGAAATTTGGGTTATAATTATTATTTGAAACTTGGGACAATGACTTCTTAAAGTTGTTCGAGTGGTGTTTTTTTTTTTATTTTTTATTTTTTTATAAAGATAATGGTTAGTAGATTAGTATTGTTAAATATTAATAATTGGAGATTCGATCTTTAAATTTGATGAACAGCCCATCGATCTCAATGAAACACACGACTATCGAACCGTTTGGTAGAGTTGAAAATGATATTTTAATTTTTGGAAGATATGCAGTTCAGACACTGTGTCAACACTCAACAGCGTGAATTTCATTTTTACCAAAAAAAAAAAAAAAGTAAAAAAAAAAAAAAAAAAATAGTGTCGATTTGGTAGGAAAAGTAGGGAATGGTGCGTTTCCTAGGAAAGTAGGGAGTAGTGTTAATGGTTCACTGGTTTTAAAATTGGCGATACAACCACATTTTTAGGGTGTCAGACCCCCAGTCGTCTGGGCCCCAATCCTGCACTATATAAGCCATCCTCTCCCTTCCCCCCCAAACTCCACTCCACCTCCTCCCCCTCCCTGCAACTTCAATGGCAGACCCCTCCATGCATAACTTCTTCAGCCAGAACCAACCTTCTGCGGCCAAACCCACCAAGCACGCACCAGCTCCGTCCACCACC